CCTCTAAGAACAGAACGACGATTGGATATCATCCACAGACGAATGGATTAACCGAAAGGTTTAAGAAAACTTTGGTAGATATGCTTTCAATGTACGTCAAAGTAGAGCAAACAAACTGGAATGAAACTCTTCCTTTTGTCACTTTTGCTTGTGAAACAGGAAAGAAGGGTTACACTCCTCTTTATCTTCTCCATAGTCGAGAAGCCGAAACCACACTTGACATTATGTTTCCATACAGCGTTGATGGATCAGAAGATGACTATGTGAATCGATTCATCACTCGAGCGGAAGAATCCAGACAACTTGCCAGAATCAGAACATTAGAAACACAGATACAAAACCAGATATAATGCCAGACACCGGAGTGTATCATATTGACCTGACGAATTAGTTTAGGTTTTCATGCCTGTTAAGAAAGTTGTTTTTTCTGAAAAGCTGTTAAAGCGTTACTTTGGTCTTTACTGAGTTGTAAGAAAACAATTCGATGTTACATATGAAGTTGAAGAATTAGAACTCTCGCCCCGAAGACGGAAATCTGCACAGGTTGTGCATGTTCTACGTATGAAAATGTATTATATTCAATAAGCACAAAAAAGTATTCTAACAAATGACACCGAAAAATTCCCAAGTAATGCTCCTGCTGGTCTACATACAATGCTAGGACGGACAAGAGAAATGCTACACTCGACTCTTCTTGAGAAATTGTACCTTATAGAGAACCTATGAAAAGATCCAGAACGCGAAACGTAAAGGAAATATAGATTAACATCGAGGCGATGTTATTTTAAGGAGAGAGTAATGCCATGTTTCGTAAACATTTCAACGAACAAGTGGTCCTGGGGTAGAGCCACCACCAATGGAACTGTTGGTCTCAGGTTCAAAACCTACCGACTGCTACTCGCTAGTTTTTTTAATTTGATTTAAATTACATCTCTGGTGTTTTCCAGACAGTTACAGCGTATGCAAATTTATGTTAGTTTAAGCACTTCTTGAATATTCTAGATGTCACCACTGTATCTTATATAAGCTGCTTCCTCTAGCTGGGGGTAAGTTCGTTTGGTGTACGATCAAGTAGATCACGCTTACCTTCTTGCCTTCAATAAATTCTCATTGCTCTATTCAACCGTTGTATTGCTACCTGTTCTACTCCAAGGGTCTTCGTGACAATATTGCAATTCATAAACAACGTTTTATTTTCAAGCTCGCATGAGCAAGTTTATTGAGCTTAAACATGCTCAAAAACAGTACAACTTATATAAAAATGAAAGATAATTTTCGAACATGTGTTAGTAAGATTATTATGCTTGAAAAAGGGCGTGCACGGTTTTCCACCTTTGGCTGCATAGCGGAGTATTTGTTGACGTTTTTCAATTTCACGAAATATTGGTCGATGTTTATCTGGGAGGTGCATATCTGGAGGATAGAGCGTAGTACCTTCAGTTCCGTAAGAACGTAAAATACCACTAGACCAAGCTGATTACTACAGTCCGGAAGCAGTTATTGGCTTATATAGGAACCACCGCTACACTACTCGCCCACCAGTGAGTTGGTGGATAAGCAAGCGAATGATATTGTTGTTATGGTGAGCATGAGAGCTGTTGCTGTTTATTGGTGGAGTTGCGTCAAGTGGGTCTGACAGCAATTGATTAATCTTCTTGAGGATAGATGGCGCCACGACAGCTGCGTGAAGGTTGAGTTTTTACTTAGTTCAGAGTCAAGGTCACCAATGAGAAGGCACATATCCAGGGGACAGAACACGGTACCTTCGGTTCCGTAAGTACGTAACATACCACTAGACTAAAATGATCACTTCAGTCCGGAGGCTGTTACTGGCTTATATACAGGAACTACCGCTACATAGTCTTTTTTTTAATTAAATGGGATTGATTAAGAAAACATTACGTTTCGATTACAGTATTGGAGAAAGCATTAAAAATCTATCTTTATCAATTTGTGACGGGCTCACGCGTGTTTAGTTTTAACATGTCCTTTAGGTTCTTTGGGACCAGAATTAATGGCAACTCTTTTCCAACCAAATACAAGAAGTGAAACGTGAAAGAAAGATGCAAATTAGGAAGCTTTTAAATATCAGAAGTTAGAGTAAGTGGTGTGGCAATTTGAGGAATGTAAGGATAATCCGTGGTTCAAGCGTGAAGAGGTTTTAGAAAACACTACATGGTATCAAACAGAAATTATACGTAGTAGAGAGCCCTTAGGTCAAGATGCATACCATTGCACTCGAGTAAATAAATAACTTCATCTAGGATTATTGTGATCACTACTTCGGACTACATCAAGGTAGGATTGACTATTCAATATTAGGGTCTGTGATAGTATTGGAATTGAGTTTATGGAATCAGTTATTGATAGTGGTTCGGGTTAAGTAATTTCGGTATTATATATATATATATATATATATATATATATATATATATATATATTGCATGTTTTGCCACCGTAGATTCTCTCAGTTATATTATAATCTAATTTGTTAGACGATTAAGTTAAATATCTTAATAAAGTCATATTAAGATCATGACGGCTCCTAGTTCTTTCTTTATTCCTACACATCTAGCTCACGCTGATAATTAAAGAGATGGTCACCCGAAAGGGGACGACATCACAAATTTAGAGCAATATTGTTTTATAAAGTAAAACAGGATTATATACGTTATAATTTATGTCTCATTTTTTATTTTATTCACAATCTAGAAAATACTCTTATTCTGTTTTTAACAGAAAATAACTACCCTCTTTCAAGGAAATTTTTTTCCCATCTAACCACCATCACAATTCATATATATACTATTTATTTCCTCTAAAGATACAAACATACAAAGTGTACGAGATTTTGCGAGATACAACTCCGCTTTCCATGCATCGCACTAATTCAATATGTGTCCCACAAAGTGAGTGGCAATCACATAAATGACCCAACTTGTCTCTTTGTTTGATATGAGAAAATAAATACTTAGGAATCGCCTCCATAAAACCTGGAATTCATTAGCAATATCATTGTAACAATAGAATAAATGTTGTAAATAAGTATATGAAAACATATGAGAAATATGAGCTAGAATCTAGATAATGTAGGCAATGGTTAGTTGAATATGTAACTTGTGCTGTAAACTTGAGAAGAATTCCCTTAAAGTAAATATTAATTAAATAATAACTATTAATTCCTTAGAAAGATCCATGATTCGGATACATTTTATTAAAATATTTCAGTCAATCGTATAAAAAGATGAGATTTATTTTTTTTTAAAAAAGCCATTTTCCATCTGGAAAATTTCTGAAAAAAAATTAATTGAATGTGATTAAGAGTACATCACATATATATGTTATATATGGGGATGGGGAGATATATGAGGATAAATATATATAACTTTTTCGAATTTTCAATCTTTAATAAAATATTTTCTATTCATCCACACACACACATTCAAGTTCCAATACATTTTTTTAAAACTTGTTGAGGGTGACACATGATGTTATTACAGTTTTTCAAATATTAATTCATTAATTGAATTAAAAAATGAATAAATAGTAACAAATAGAAATAATAGTCCAACATCATATATAGAATCGTTCGTTATGTGCTATAGCACAATGGATAGTATATATATACGCTAGACTTCTAATTCAAAGGTCGCGGGTTTAAATCGGGGGGAGGGGTAATTTTGAACCATATTCAAGGGACGAGGGTGAAACTTGAGCTGCCAACCCCCTCTCATAACTTCCACACAACACCAACAAGAAGACTTTGAGTCACAATAGATTTAATTGCAACAGCCTCTCTACACGAAGGGTCTCCAGTGACATCAGTACTCAAACTTGTGACTCAACTGTATCAGCCACGAGATTCTGACCATGAACACTGATCTATCATGGCTGCGACACTTACAAGAGAGGACAGATTACTATCATACTAAATACGAAAATGGTATGTATAATAAATCATGAGTAATATACAAGTTAATGGAAAAATTGGACAATTAAAACAGTTGCGATACTACACACCTAGTTGAAAAGTGAATAAGTAATATAAAAAAATAATAATTTTAGTCAATTCCTACTTTGGTCAACAAAGAAAAATTTTAGTCGTCCTTCCGGTATAGTGGTTAGCAACGCTGACTGCTGTGCCGTAGGGCCTGGGTTTGAATCTCGGAGAATGATTGGATTGTATGTTTGTTAATGTATAGTGCCTTCGTGGCATAAAGGTACTCTAAACAGCCATCGAGCCGCAATTCCTCTCCTGAGGTTGATGGCAGGGGATGAGAGGTGGGAAGCTCCTGACCCTCCCCTAGTGTGTTTTCCCTCAAAATTTGAGTGGAACCGAGCTAAACCGTACTGTTGCTTGTATGGTGCTCAAGGCTACAGCAAACCACAGGCGTACATCTAGCACCTTGCCAAGATAAATTTCTTGGGCCTCGATCTGACTACGTCAAACAGGTGGCATTAGCAACAAGAAAAATTTTCTTTTAGTTACTTTTTAATAAATAATTACAATCATTAGCGCACACAGGAATTTTTCAAGGGAAGGGGGAGTCCGGGGTCGAAAGTTCACCATTCTTGTATCATGCTCCTTTTGATTTTGTCGATTTTCGGGAACAAAACACAGTAAAGAACTAATTTTTGAATAAATAATTAGCATTAATTAATAAAATTAATCATTAATAACAAGTAATTAATTAAATTTTACGTACTATATACTTAGAATTATAATCAATCGGAAAAAAATCAAAGGCTTTAGGGGGGCCGGACTCTTAGGCCCCCCCTTGTGCGCGCCACTGATTACAATTAATATAAATACGCATATGCATGTGACAGAATCACAATATTAAGTGTCAAAATAGAAAGCGATTTCCCTTGCAATTTTCCACATTTTCATTTCTATATATGGTGTTAACTATTTTTGTAACAATTTATTCATTAATTATATTTAATTATTCTAGCAAAATAGTATAGTAAAAAAGAAATCACATTCTCAGAAATTAGGCCATCCCAGGTGGGATTCGAACCCATGACCTTTGGATTAAAATTCCAACACGCAATTCATTGCGCTTCAGGGACACAACGAACGATTTTCCTTTCTATATATACTGTTGGACTATTACTTTTGTTCACTATTTATTCATTTTTTTAATTTAATTAATGAATAAATATTTGAAAAAAACTGTATTAACATCAGTTAACCCACTTTAAGTTAAAAAAAAAATATTTGAACTTGAGTGGATGAATAGAAAGTATTTTATTAACGATTGAAAAGTTAAACAAGATATATATATATATATAATAGCGGACCCGACAGACGTTGTCGTGTACACATATCTTAAATTCAAAAATTCCAAAACATTTTATGAATAAGCTTTAACTATCTGGACCGATTTGATGAAAATTTGTATTAAAAAATTATTACAAAATCTAACTTTATTACATATACAATTATCAATAGCGTCTGAGTATATGTTTATTATGAGCGAATGTAAAATGTAGAGTTTGTTTGAATAAAAACAAACTTGTTTTAATTAAAGGTGAAAAAGTTGAGACTCAATCTTATAACAGATATATTTATTAAATTCTGCAAAAGCTTAATTTACATATTGTAATGCCATTGGATGTACAATATTTTTGGTTACTCCTTGAGGGGTATAAAATCAATTCGATGGCTTTCCACAACTCTGGAACACGCAACATATAATTGGCCGTGAGAAAAGCACGGATTTCATGGTTTGACCTTGTGACTTAATAATAGTCATAGCAAATGCCGATCGAATTGGAAGTTGTAAGCGTTTAAATGGTACAAGCTAATCTGAAGGAATCATTGGGATCCGCGATAGAAGTACAACTTCACTTTGAAATTTTCCACAAAAAAAAACCGGTGAATCACTTAAAAAAAATCTAATGCAAATTTCGCAAAAAACTCTTCTTAGAGCACATCATTAGGACCTATATTAATTATGTCCCAGGTTTCGTACTACTGGGTTGCTTAGAAGTGAAACACACACAAACTTTCTTTTATTAATATAGATTCCCCATAAGAAATAATTTTAAATAAAAATGTCCAGCCGTTAGGAGGAGTTTAGTCACATACATACACACAGAAGCTTTTTATGCATAAAGATATACCTTATCGTGGCTTTTCTTGCCGCGCATTAGCAGAATAAATAACACACAGGAGTAAAACAATTATGCGTTTTAAGGTTTTTAATTGATATTTTTTAACAAATTGCGATATCGGACCAAATTGTGAATCTAAACCATTCTCGAGTACACTGGAACAGACAAAAAATTTCATCGAAATCGGTCCAACCGCTTAGGAGGAGTTTAGTCACACACGCACATTTTTTATATATAAAGATATATATATATACAAATATATATACACACACATGTATATATATATATATGTATATATAAAAGAAATATGTATTATTTATCAAAAATAAGAAATAATAGATAAAGAACATAACAAGAAATAGCATAATAAAAATATAAAAGCTGATCATGAAGAACAAAATTATAGAGAAATAAAACTACAAAAAAGCAGAACCTAGCGAGTCAGAAAGCAATTTCGGACTTAGGACCGAATAAGTGGGGTTAAACCAGTTTAAAGGCGCCAACCTTCCCCCTTTGCAACTCGGTAGAGAGGAAAACCAAATAAAATAAAATAAACAAAACTTCAGAGTATGGATAACTCAGAGAGCATGATAAAACCAATCACTACTATTATGTAACAAACTCTCCCAAAACTCTTAATGCAGAAAAAGTAGTATGTGTGTGTGAAGTAGAAGGTGCTACTGCAAGCCTTCCGTAGCATCCCCCAGCAGATGGTTTCGAAAGGAAACGAGAGGGCAATGACTCCAACGGAAAGGGGCAGCGAGAGAAGGGACATAAGAACTATAGAAGACGTTTAGACTGCAAGGGAAGCAGATGCATATCGACAGAGCCGTTATATTTCTTTCAAAATAATTAGAGCCAATTAGACAACGACGTTTAAATGTTCACTTAATTGTTATTCTTCATTTTTATTTATTCTTATTTTAAAAATAAACAGATTATTTTGTCATAGGAGTTTACGAATTAATCCCAGTAACAACATAACATTTGGGAGCTCGGCCTCAAGCTTAATTAAAAACCCCTAGAAAATACGACGAGTCAAGACTGGTGAACCATCACACTTCAACGACGGAACCAGCAACGCAAGCCACAACGACGAAATCATCAACGGTGAGTCTATTCCAATCTCCTCTTTTATTGTTCTGAAGATATTTATTTACGATGGTCTGTCTAGAAAAAATTGTTGCTATTGCCCCTGCTTCAACGGTAAGCAGGGGCAATAGCAGCAATAAAGACGGCCCCTGCTTCAACGGTACAACTTCTGCACAACATTGTAAATGACGAACCCTATAATAAATCTTCTAGAAAAGAGTTAAAAAAATTCACAGGTTTCCCACAGAATTACGACATTGAAGCACGAAAGGATAAAATTTTAAAGGACTTAACGAAAATTGAACTTATTACAGTATGCACTAGATTAGGACTGAATTGCACGGGAAGCGCCAAAGAATTAAGCGAGCGTATATTTAAAAATTTATCAGACCTTGCATCTTTAAAAAATAATTTTACCGAACAATTGACGGATGACGAAGGCGGAGATTCTGGGCCTTTTTCGCTAGAATCTACGAACGACAAGAACAAACAACACCTCACCCCGCCAATTTATCACTCGCCCTCTCCACAGGATGTTTTTGCTCCCCTCCTTCAAACAACGAAATCAAAACAAAAGAGGGAACGAGGAGAATGCCTTTTTGTTAAAGGACCTTTTTTCAACTATGAGGTCGCTTACGGGAAATGATAATTACAGTGTTAAAGCTTTTTTTCGCGATGTGGAAGAAAACTTTATTTTTATCCCACACATATCTGATATTCAAAAAATTATCTGTGTTAAACGTTTACTTCAAGGTCCTGCAAAAACTTTTATCCAAACTCTCCATAGCATATTATCGTATAGTTCTCTTAAAGCTGCATTAATTGAAGAATTTGAAGATTTATTTGTTCTTATGACGTTCACAAGGAAATGCAAAAATGGAAATTACGCCCTACAAAATCCTTATTTGAATATTTTTTGGCCATGTTCGAAATTGCTTCAAAAGCACACTTTCGTTTAGACGACCAAAGCCTAATTATGTATTGCATACGTGGTATACCTGATTCTAACCATAATAAATTGATATTATGCATCTGCAAGCCCCCGTAGCATCCCCCAGCAGATGCTTTCGAAAGGAAACGAGAGGGCAATGACTCCGACGGAAAGGGGCAGCGATAGAAGGGAGATTAGAACGAGAGAAGACGTTTAGACCGCAAGGGAAACAGACGCATATCGACAGAGCCGTTATATTTCTTTAAAAATAATGAGAGCCAATTAGGCAACGACGTTTAAATGTTCACTTAATTAATTGTTATTCTTCATTTTTATTTATTCTTATTTTAAAAATAAACGCATTATTCTGTCAAAGGAGTTTACGAATTAATCCCAGTAACAACATAACATATATATTTTGAAATCTATATATATAAAGGAGAAAAGCAACTCACTGACTGACTGACTGACTGACTAATCACTATATCTCCGGAACTATTAAACCTACAGATTTGAAATTTGGTAAGCAGGTTCCCTTCAAGGAGTGGATATCAGCTAAGAACGGATTTTGCAAACATCGTACTCCAAGGGGCGTTACGGGGGTTAAGGGGGCGTTATAGATAATTATTTGCATTATTAAAGTATTAGATAAACAGTCTTGAAACTTGTGGTACACAGAATTCATTCATAAGGAAGAGATTCCTTACATAATGATTTTTACAAAAATCTTCCTCCAAGAGGCGTTGAGGAAGCTTAAGGGGCGTTATAAATAATTATTTCCATTTTTAAACTATTAGACGTACAGTTTTGAAAAATTTGGTAAGCGGATTCCTTTCATATAGTAGAGATCCGCTGCAAAATGGGTTTTGTCAAAATTGACCCCCAAGTGACGTTGTAGAGAATTAAGGTGCGTTATTGGTAGTTACCTCCTTTCTTAAACTATTAGACGTAAAATCTTGAAATTGAGTAAGCAGATTCCATTCATTAAGTAGAGATCTGCTATAAGATGGGGTTTGTGAAAATTGCTTCCTAAATGGCGTTGCGGGCGCTTAAGGGGCGTTATAGATAATTATTTCCATTTTTAAACTATTAGACTTACAATCTTAAAATTTGGTAAGCGGATTCCTTTCATGGTTTAGAGATCCGCTACAAAATAGTTTGGGGGAAAATTGATCCCCAAGGGTCACTGAGGGGAATTAAGGGGTGTAATAGATAAATATTTCAGCTTTTCAACTACTAGATTCACCTGCTTAAAAATTAGAAGGTATGTTCCGTTCATGGAATAGAGTTCCTCTTACAAAGAGTAGTTTTGCGAAAACGGACCCCCAAAGGAGTGGGGTTGCGAGCGGTTAAGGCGTGTTATACAAAAATTCCTGTTTTTGAATTTAACCCATTTACTTGAAATTTGTTGAGCATGTTTCTTTAGTTGAATAGAGTTCCATTTAGAATGGATTTTACGGAAATCAACTCCGGTGGAAGCGGGAAGAGTTATTGGGGCTTATTGTTAGACAAAATTCCCGTTTTTGAACTGCTAGGACTATAATAATAAAATTTGGTTTACATGCTTCTTTTGTTGAATCGGAATCTGCTAAGAATGCTGTGAACGATGTATTGATGATAAGAATTCCGTTTTTGCTCTGTTAGATTTAGACTTGAAATTTAGCATGCATGTTCATTTTATGGAGTAGAGATCCACTGAAAGTTGCTTTGGTGGAAATCCACTTGATTATTAGGTTAAGTGAGCGCAAAAAATCTTTCTACTTCTACTTTAGATATAAATAGAAATTAGATATTATAATTTCTGTCCTTTTTGTATCAAGAGGCGAGAGTTACAGCTATAAATATATTTTTCAATACAATCGAATTCTTAATCCTAGATATCAATAATTTATATATATGTAAACAATATACATTTATACAACATCGTGAA